ACCCTTTGAAATCGCAGATGGACAGTCTTTTGAAAAAAAAAAAACAGCAACTGACAGTCTTTCGATCCAAATATTTGATCAACCATCCAGTAACATTCAATAGCGGAAAAACATGAAATGGTCATAAAATGACGTAAAATTGAGATAAGAGGAAGTTCTTTTGAATGGAGAACCTGATCTCACTGTAATCTATAGATCGAAGACGATAAGCTGCACGTGTGAAATAAAACTAATAACAAGTGGAGGAAACTTCCGATGGAAACGATGATTTAATATCATGACAAAGGCTATTTGTGGAATGAGCGCTGCAAATAACGGAAGATACTACTACCAGTTGGGGATGCACTTCCTCGGCGATAGCTTTTCACAGGAAATGAAATGAATATGAGGATCCACATCTATCCGGGATCTCAGTCTGATCATTCTTTTGATTTGACTTTAAGGATAGAAAAGATGATAATCATAACAATGTTCTATTACATTTGCAAAATACATGAAAAATTCATGTATTTTTATGACTTTGAACAAGTTAACGTCTTAAAACATAAAACCGCAACTGCTCATAGGAAAATTCCGTCCAAATCCATTTTAGAGTGAATTTTTATTGATTCATTTTGAAATTAAATACAGCAGAAAAATTAACATCCAGGATATTTAAACGAGAGTTGCAGCATTTGCATCCTTTACCTCCTTGCATGTTTGTAGTCAACGATATGAACAAGAAACATCTTCATTACAGAAACAGGATTTTTAAATGGGTGATTTTTTAATTCAAGATGATTTATGAATAACAAATTCACGGGCAAAACTCATAAATCCAACGAAGGACAGTCCTTCTGTAACATCGATGAAGAAATTATGAACAGTAAGTGATTTAAACAAAAGTGCGTCCTATCAAATTCGTAACATTAACAACACGGAATGCAATTCATTTTAGGGAAAACTGATAATGAAAAAGGGATAAAAAAGCAATGTGGAAAAGTTTCGCCTGTATTTGTGGAAGAAATTAAAGAAAAGCCACTTAGTATATGGAGCAATGAACTGTCATAAATACCGTTTTAAGATGACGGAAATTTAAAAGAGATTCTTAAAATGAAATAGCGAACGGTGAACCCGGTACATTTACATCACCGTACTTTATATAAATAAAACCTTTGACCTCTTCCTGAACAACATACTTGACCATATAATGGCTATTACCAAGATTTTGCAGTGCAATTTGTTCGCATGGCCCTTTCGATGTGAATAGACCAACATACAAAACATTGTCTCCTTAACAAATGATTAAGTTTCTTATCAGTTATTTTTTGGATTCACTATTCAGATTAAAATAACACTACTGATCCATAACTACTACCATGGTTTTTTTTTTTCTCTTCACCAACCTTATCCAAAGTTCATTTCTTCGTTGGAAATAAACGAATTTGCACATTTAAAGCACTCGTCAAGAAAAAACGAACCTGCGAGACTAGTGTCAATGTTGAAGATGGCCGACTGACCAGGAAAAAATTTATTCAAGCCAGGACCCTTCACTATAACCCTGTCCGCATCACCAGAAAAAACCGGAACTTGTTGAATTATTTCCTTTCTGACTTTAGGGAACGCATCAATCTAAAATTTGATATCCTCTTACATTTCTTTTAAAAAATTTAAGCAAAAATACCGGCATCTATTTACCTTTATTACCTATGAACTGACGACAAAGTGGAACAAAGCAAAATAACCTTGATTAATGAACTGTCTGGCTTGCTATCACCAAGCTTTTTACCTTCCACAACTACCTTGAAGGGGGAGCCAGGAATATGAACACCTGTAAAAAGATATAGGTTAATTGGTTAATTGCTTCAAGCAATAAAGTTTGAAGCAATTCAAGGTTAAGCTAAATTTGATATCATTTTGAAGCGAAAAAGGAGAAACATAAGCTAATAAATGACGCTGTTCAGTAAATTTGAAAGAAAGGATATATTTCGCTATCAGCGATGTATATTAAATTTATGAGATCCCTACTCGCAATTTAATCCCGCTTTTCACCATCAATTTAATTTTCCGCCACAATTTTAACTTTCAAACTTTCCGTCACATCACCAGCAATTTAACTTTCTGTGGTCAATTAACGATTTGACGATGTAATGGAAAGAGCAAAAAGACAGATTTCCTGTAGATAAAAGTAAAAGCTCCATACTTTATTTTCCATTTTTTAAACAGACCTGAATATTTAATAGTGACATAATATGGTCCAGGCACTGATGCAACGTAAAACACTTTATAACCTTGTTCGATATGAAAAACAAATAATCATTACTTAAAGACAGAATGATGACTGACAATGTTGATATGAAAAGAGACTATAGCTTACCCAGTCGCATCACTAAATTTTGATCTATCTCCAAAGGACATTTTGAAATAATGTAGAAATTTATTGTGTATAGAAGAACATCTCATACATTTTGACAAAGACTGGGCGGTTTACAAAAATCCACCAGTAATTTTGCCAGCTTATCACCAGCTTAAAAACAACGACTAATTGTGACTAAAACAACTACAAAATGAAATGAAAATGAATAAGTGTTACCTCACATGCATTCATAGTGACTTTCGATGGTCCATTAATCTGAATTTGAAGAAGTCCGGTTCCAGCATTGCAAGTACTGATAATAAATTTAGAGATCTGACCAGTTTGCCCGCCACGAATACCGTCACCAGTCACTGTTATGATTGATGGATCACTATTGCCATTTGTGCCAATCCGGAAATGGAAAGGTGAGCCATGCATAGGTGCACCATCAAGCGTCACATCAACGTAATAGTCTCCAGTCTAGAAGTTGTCTAATAACAACAAGAATAAACAGATAAACCTCAAAAGGTAAGGATGAATCCAAGAATTAGGTTCTTTAGAATATATGAAGAAGGGAAATTTGTGATCTGAATATGATATAAACTGAATGGACAAAAAAAAAGACCTCCAAAGGAATGAACCGGATGCAGTATGAATCATTTCCATCAATTGGGAGGACATCGACTGCTTCAATCTTGTTGCACGGTGTATGAAGCTTCGCTTCCAGATGACCTACCGCACCATTTCTACTTACCAAAAAAGCACATACTTCACCTGGCGTTCCAGAATCTGAGAATGATATTAATTCCAGACGGCGAGCTTCTCCAGATGCGGGAGTAACAAATATCTTAAAAAATCAAAATATGACATGAGATAACGAAATTAAAGAGTCATCCCATCACAAATTGTCAGAAATGCCTAATGCTTCCAGTGATCTAAAAACATGAACAAGTAAGAGTTAAGAACTTTGAACGGTGAGTCTGGTATATGTTCAGCATTGAATTTGGCTGATATAAGGTATTCTCCTGGTTTTGTAACTTTATAATCGAAATGACAGTTCCCATCCTGAAAAAACTGTGATGATGAAAAACGAGGGTACTAAACGTAAGGATTTCCTGGATTCGGCTTAGCAGAGTGATTTTAAGGATTTTAGATAAGAATCCAAGCAATACCACCTGCAAATAATTCAACTAATCAAAAAGAAATTATTTAACTCCGGTGACACACGTCGTCTTTTTTCCATTGATTGCAGCAAATTTCGCTACAGTCTCAGAGTGTAAAAAAGATATAATGTGCCCTAGAGTCAAAGAGTCAAATAATTTTCTTTTGATTTGCAAAAAATCATGTAAAATAATTTAAAATTTTTATATTAGTTCACCTCACGATCCTATTTTGAGGGAATGAAATCTGACAATGTCCCTTCCCGTAATAAACTCCTGCTTTTGCACGAGAAAATTTCACCTCATGTTCATGGAATTGCAATTCGGCTTTTGATGGTCCCTCTACCACTACTTCAAGTTCTCCTCGTCCAGCTTCTCGGGTATAAAGATTGAAAGACTGTTTCCTGTTAACTTCTGCTCGTTTCAACCCAACTCCTACTGCTCGTACCCTGTGTGCACCCATTTCTGTTATATATCCTACAGTGAACTGGAAGGGACTCCCTACAAAGAAAAACACTGTTTTCAGAATGTTTTCTAATTATTTGAAGTCTTCAATTTTCATAACCTACCTGAAACATGCCGTCCTTTGTAGAAAATAGAAACTGCGTGCGGGCCATCTACTACAGGTCTGAATTCAATCCGATAAAGGCTGTCACCAAGATCACGAACTTCAACATCTTCGCTGTATCCATTAGGATCAACGACTTTTGCTTTCGTGTTCATTGGTGATACATTTTCCAGTTGCAAATACAAAGCAGTATCTTGTTCAGGTAGAACTATTGGTGCCTAGAGGTAATTTTACAATATTTCTTTGATGAAATGGAATAATAATGCCAGCTCACAGCTCACGAAAACAAATTCTAATATAGTTCGCAACATCAAAAATATTTGCAATCTTCACCAAAAACAAAACATATTCACCTGTTTCACTTCCTTTTTGACGCTTTCTTTTACGACACCCATTCCTTTTCCGGTACAATTAATTGTGAATGGGCTATCTAAAAGCATAAAATTTCATAAAGTTTCTTCCCATAAATTCCATAAACTTTTCCATGAAGACTCTTCCCTCAACCATAACATTGTGGACTGAAATAATATGATTCGTACTAACCATTTACATGCGAACCGGCAAATTTCACAGATAAAATATAAATTCCAGGTTCGGTAGGTCTATAAACGATATTAGCTAAACCTTCTTTATTTTCTATACACCTTAATTCAGCTTCTGATGGTCCTAGAATTGATACTGATAAATCACCACAACCTGAAAAACTAAAAATATGCTGCCAAGAGAAAAGCATCATCTTATAACTAAGAGCTGTAAAGGGAGGGGAACATCTTAAGTAACAAAAAAAAGAGAAAAATCTTTGGTAACAAAAAAAATCAATGAGAATAGAATCAAAGAACGAACTTTATATGAACGAACTCTATAACTGCAAAGCTTGTCTTTAATTCTGCTCTACAAACACAAATCTAACACGAAAGACGTTTTTCAAACAGTAACGCAAATATTACCAGCATCACCCATGTTGATTGTCACACTATTGTCTTGCTGACAAATAGCATTCGCTTTACCTGTTCCAGTAACAACAACTTTAGACGCATCTCCAGTCTAAAACAAGCCATGAATGATAAGTCATATGTTTTCCTTTACAGTATGCAACCAGAAAAGTGGTAAAAAGTCCACACACTCACTTGATTTTTAATAACTTCGGCTCGGCAATTCGATTGCTGTATAACTTGTTTATTCTTTTTAACAGTGATCAAATGTTCACCCATTTCACGTGGTGAAAATGAGATACCTAAAAACTGTTACAATAAAAGAGTGATTCCTGTCAACTAAGAACGCTAGCCTGTTCAGCCACTAATGCATCATCATACGTACAGATGAAGATTATCATCATTTCCCACAAGAAAGAGGCTTATAACTTCGAATAACAAGCCTCAAGCTTAACCCATCTGCAACTTAGATTGTATACAAAACGGGCAGTTTTATCTTTTGTAGTTTTATTTTTTAAAATTGCCTGAAACTTCAGCATTTCGCTAGCACTTCCTGCCTTAGTATGTTTTCATATCGGTTTTAACAGATATACACTATTCAAGACTTTCAGTTTCTAAAATTACCAAACAAAATGAGCCAAATTTTAAATTGCACTCTGGAAAGTCATTGATATGCAGCGAAGGACTACTAAAAATAGACAAGATTCCTCATCTTTTCTGTGTTAAACCCAAAAATCCGACATTCCATTCTAATCAAGTGCAAAAAAATAATAGAGAGAATCAATTTATTTGAATCTAGTAAAAAAGACTGAATTAAAAGAATATATTCAATTTTTCCACAAGGAATTGAACTAAATCATATTACATGGGATGCCATGTTGGCAAAACTGACATTTTCCGGTGGTCTAAATGTTTGAGGTTACGGGAGCCATTGAGCACAAAATATTGAGGATTTAATGTAAGAAACGAAAACTGACATCGAAGATCCAGAACTTTCCAAGTAAGAGTAAAGAGATGAAGAGAGAAACTTGCTAGAAAACTTCAAGAAAAACGACTGTAAAAGACATAGGCTGAAAAATCAAAAATTAGTTCTGTACAAGTGCATTTAACGTTATCATCTCCTATATGAAGGATTTCAATTTTCATGCTTTGCCGTACAATCAGTCACAAATTAATCATAAATTTATATATCATTTGCTCTGCGGTGGTCCAATTTTTGATTGCAATTGAATTGCATACAACTATTCCCATAACCGGGAACTACTAGCTTAGTGGTTGAATAAGAAGACACTTTCCAAGATTAGATCCTCAGCGAAAAAACGTCGTGGTTATTATTTGGTAGTCTACAGCATTTCTCTTGGTGGAAATTATGATATGTGAGAAGTTTATGCAGCAAGTCGATGACACCAGAAATTCCAATGCTTTCAGCTTGGTCAAGAAAGAAGACTCAGTTTCTCTTACAACGCCTAACCACATTGGGATCGACTAATTTTTTACCTCATCCTCATACTCATTTTACTTCTCATTCCCTCAATTAGCACCATAATCGTTTGTAGGAAAGTGCCTTACAACATCACTTTATAAAAAATACTTTCCAAAAAATTGTCGAAATCCAAAGCACATGCTCCTATGCCACAGAAATAACTAAACATATTTCTCGTTGACAAAAATATGTCAAGTAGTAGAACCTACTTCGATTAATAAATAATGAGTGTGTAAAAGTGTTTAGACCAACTTAAGAGTAATTTGGGGTCACGATCAAACGACAATTACTTTCGAAACAACGCAGTATTAAGTAATTTAAAATACAACAGAAAAATATGTAATGTTAAACAAGACATCTGTACAAAACTTTGAGGTGGGCCAGGATGTTTCTGCTGGTTGACCTGGACCGAAGTTTTCGAGATAGCAATGCTCAGTCACAACTTTGTCATGATATGAAAAAAGGTGAACCTTACAGTTTCGGGAAAGTTTTTTTTTTTAGAATAATTCATTCGTCGTACAAATTAGTTTTTTTTCGAATAATCCATTCCTTGTACAAATTACTGATATTGCTCAGTCTGATTGACGATTATCACGATTAATAACTTTTAAAGTCTATGCAAAAAGCCAAAATACAACGATTCCATTTACTTTCGTCATTCAACATCAAACAATATCAAGAAACGAAAAATGAAAAAAAAGTACCGATGTGGGCGTGATCAATCTGACGAATGATGCATGGCTCTTCAATCCCACTTGGACTTTTTACTGATCCTGATAGTTCATCAATTTCAGCACTGTCAATATTAAATGAGATCTGCAAATTTTGAAGGGATAAATAGCTCGAACAACATCAAAATACAAAATAAAAAATATGGCTAAAAATAACAGCTTAAAGTTTCAAATATAATAACGGCTTTCATTGTATATTGAATTTTTTTTAAGACAAAACCGGAATTGCAAAAACGATTTATTTGCAAGCATACACGGCGCTTAGCTCAATTGAGAGATACTAAATATAAAAAGATTTCTGTACTTACTACAAAAAAAAAAAAAAGTAGAAAACTAGAAATAAATTGTATGGAATAAACCTCCAATATTGCCGTTGATTTAAGAGATAAATGCGATCGCTTTTGGCCTTCATCTGTCACAAATACAATGAAAGGGGAATTTCTTATTGGTTTTCCAGAAAGCTTGACGATTCTGCGCAGATGCTCCAAATATTTGATATCTATATTTTGAAAAGTAGTTCAGGTTCATGTTGGGCAGTAGCTGCTGTGGAAGCGATGTCAGATCGGATTTGCATTATGTCGAAGGGAAAGAACAAGTAACACTTTCAGCGGATGATCTTCTGAGCTGCTGCAAAACCTGTGGTTTTGGTAAATTGCTGCATTTTTTATTTCAGATTTCTATATTCATTCTACCTTTTCTTTTTCAGTTCGTCTTCAGTT